AACATTGATAATTAGTAGAAGCTAGGATACATGTTGATAAGAGAGTTAACCACCTTTTGTGAGAATTAATTAAGAAGCTAGCCTTTTGGCCTTGATTTGTCCCTGTAAAACAAATAGTTAGTTCACATCAAAGACTCAAGCTCTCATCCAAGAAAACCAATCTTGATTTCTACTTTTATTTATCTGAATATTTAAGATACAATTTTCTTGAAATTTAAAAAGAAAAAGGTAATAACAAAGACAGAAACTTGCCTTCAACAAAGTGTCTAGCTTGTTAAAAAGATTGACCATTTTTTGAACTTCCTCGGTGGCATTAAGACAAGGATTTTTTGATGCAACAGCTGCTTCAAATCCACTGAGGGCCCTTTCGTAATTTTCCAGATATGTATTCACAGTAGCAGAATTGAAATATAAGTTTGGGTTTGACTTCATGCTTTCATCTTTCTCCTGTTACATCATGAAAGAAACAATATCAGATAAAAGTTGACTTTTTCAAGTCAAATCTACAAAGTAGATTTCCAACATACAACATTTTGGTATGCTTTTAAAGACTGATGTAATTTGCTGTGATCCCATGCCCCCGTGACAAAGAAACATGTCAAACAAGCATTCCCCAAGTTGTCTGTTGGAAGAACAGAAAGGGTAAAATCGCCAATACACATAAATTCTTATGTATTGATGATAAATTATGCAATAAACTTACACCATGAATTCCCATCCTTGACATCTAAAGCAATAGCTTCCTTTGCGTGTTTTATGCTTTCAACGACAATTTCCTCTTGATTATTAGCACCTAAAGATTTATAAAAAAATGTTTAGATTCAAAAAATAGTATATATATATATATATATATATATATATATATATATACACACACACACATATATAACAAAAACAACCACACTGGATAAAACAAGAACTCTTTCTTGCCTTGAGCCATTCGTCTTTCAAGCATTGATAATTAGCTAAGTATCCTTTTGTTTGGACCCTGTATTACCATTAAAATGAAAAATATTGGATGTTTATTAAGTGAATACTAGTAAGAATTTATAAGAATATATACAAGTGAAGTGATAATCAACCTTGCCTAGAGCAAGGGTAAAACAGTTTCTTGTAGCAGGTAAAAATGGAAAAAAGACTTTAAATTTTTAAACCTTAATCCCTCAATCTTCAGATGATTCAAAGTAAATCCATTTGTGGCATGGATCACATGTGGTACACGGGCCCACGAAAATCCAGTATCAATTATACCTACGATCAATGAGATAATTGCTGATGAATCAACTTGCATATCTTGCATTTCATCTTTCTCACTATGAATCAGCTGGTTGAACTCGTTCTCAAGTTGCTTTGATTTTGATCTCTTTATTTTTGCTCCATAACCAATATGATAAACATTGGGAGGAACACACTGAGCACCCAATGATGATGATGATGATGATACAGGTTCCTGAAAGATTATGTGAATTATGATGCAGTAAATTTGCAAAATACTATGAAAGAAATTATATTATTTAATTTACCTCTGTTCTTATACTGGAACCTGATTTTTATAGATCAATCAGAGCCAAAAGATCATTCAATTTCTCTTCAATATTTAAATTTGAATATTCACCTTCCATCAGTCCAGATAACCACATTTCTCCAGGATGAATCATTGGGATTATCATCAACGCTACCACAGTCTTCAAGGTAAGATTGGTCATCTTCAGTATCCTTAACAATGGAGTAGGCTTGTAGCACATTTGGCCGGTACTAATATAATTGTGTGTCGATTGGGGTAGCAACTTAATAAATGAACTTGCCATATCATAAGAAGAAAACACAATTTGGGTGAAAATCAAGAAAGCACCAGATAACATTCTCAAAGTTCTTGTGTCGACTGCTATTAATTTGAGAGAAGAAATAGGAGATAGACAATCCGTGTTGAATAACTTACCTGAAGTGGATTCCGAGACTCTTTCCACGCCAACTTTTGAGATTACGTCTGACTTTTGCTACCAATTAATCGAACTGAGCCCTAGGCTTTTGTTTCGCCTGAAGGTGAAGTCTTTTGATACGAAATCAGAACCCAAATCTTGGAAGAACCTGAAAATCGATTCACGATCGATTGTGAGAACGTGGGGGGGGGGGAGTTGAAAACCGATTCCAATTACTTTAGAATGCCAAATTGAATTCATAAAAAAAGTTTCGAAAATTAGAAAGCAATTCTTAATTCGTAATTTCTCAAAATATTGAAAAATCGATTGGAAGAAGATTAGCGAAAGAAATCAACAGACCTAAAGAAAGGAGGCGATTTTGAAGGCGATATCGATTGGAACCCAGTTCTGAATGGTTCGATTGTTCAAATGAAATTGGGTTGGATCCATTGAACGAGAATGTAGCCAATCACAATCCAGCAAACTTCCTTCTCTCCTCTCGCCAAGCAATTAGCGATTTTGATTTAGCAACCCCCCTAGAGAGTGCTAGGGGAGGGTGTTTCAAGCTCGCTAGCGAGCCTAGCGAGGTTGGTGGCGAGCTCCACTCCGCTTAGCCTCAAGTCGATCAAACCTCAGTGGCCTGGAATATTAAGTGATGCACGTCAGCGAGGGTGTGAGCTGAAGCGGGCCCTCAATTCTCAACTCCACGTCGGAGTACTTGATCTGAGATACGAGGTTGGTTGTGTTATTCCTTTAGGATAAACAAAAGGGATTTAGTAGTGGTGGAGGCGGATTAGGGTTTATAGAGAAAAGGAGAAGGAGAGAGTAAAGATTGCCGGCTGGTGGAGAGGATGAATTCGTTATTCCTTCCCGAAGAACAACTTGATCAGAGAACGAAACCTGCAAATGAGGAGAAGTAACGTCACGATCGGAGGAGGAGACGTTGTCTGCAAGGGGAGGCGATTCGAGGTCTCAAGTCGATCGAATCGTAGAGAGTGAAGTGAGTGATGAATAGTGGGTGTTAGATATTTTATTACACTACTAGAAAAACAGCCTTTTACGACGCTCATTGCGCGTCGTAAAACGCTCAGACGACGCGCAAATGCGCGTCAAGGAAGGCCCTGTCATAAAGAGAGACGACGCGCTTTTGCGCGTCGTCTATACACGACGCGCATTTACGACGCGCGGTTATGACACACAATGCGTATCAAGGAAGGCCCTGTCATAAAGGAAGACGACACGCATTTGCGTGTCGTAACCTTACGACACGCGTGTTTATGACACGCAATGCGTATCAAGGAAGCCCCTGTCAAGAAAGGCCATGTCATAAATGAAGATGACACATATTTTTGCGTATCATAATTTTAAATATTAAAAAAAAAATTATTTACGGATTTACTAATTTTCAAATTAAATTTGCATTTAATGTCTCATAACATAAAATAAAATGCCATATACAAAAAATACAACCCATTGCATAAAATTTATTGTCATAAAAATAACAAACTTTATTTCATATTCATACATATGATTACATTATTCATTAAAAAACATATACCTACATCTTCCCCTAAATGTTATTACATGATGTTGGCCACTTCATTGATGGATCACCAAGAGGAAAACCAACAACTGCCCTAAAATGTTCCATGATGTGCAACATTTAATAAAGTAAAATACCTTCTAAAAATAAAATTGCACAAGAAACAACACATCATAATGAGAAATTACTAACATGAATGGAAGAAGTACACTATAAATTTGTTTTACCAAGAATGCCATGGATGATCAGGTGCTACAAAGTTTGTCCAAGCTTCCAAACAAAGACTGCATGCAAACCAAAACAAACATATGTATAATTGAAATGAAGAATGCAACACTTGTATATCTGCAAAAAACTTGAAAAAAACAACAAAGATTTAATGTTTATATATAGAAAGAACTTATATATATATATATATATATACACACACACACACACACACACAATTCCAGCAGCTAACTCAAGAAGCTGAAGTCTCCAATCAAGAGTGTCTCTTTGGCTATGTGAAGTAAATTCAAGAATGGAAGTGGAAGTTATTTGAAGGGCTTTTTGTTAAATTTTATTAGTTGAAGGTGATGTTTACAGAAAGAAGTGGTATATCTTGAGTAAGATTGCCAATCAATTGCCTAAAAGAAGGTAAATAGTTTGGACCATTAGTGTTAACCATTGCCATCTTTACCAAATCACCTGAAAGAAAATTGTAAAGTAAATAATTCAAGCATTATAATTATATTCATATATGTCATTTAGTTTTATGTTGTATTTCCCAAGTTTTACCAAAGAAAAGAAAAAAAAAGGAGAGAAAAGAAGATTATACTTTCATGTTTCCAGGCTTGAAAAAATAAAAGGTAAATAAACATTTTAATAATTTATGTGTTCCCGAGTTTGAAGAAAAAGAAAAGAAATTAAATTCACATCTTATTTTAAGGAACCAAATCCTTCCAAATTGGAAGGGAAGATTATCCTTTCTCTTCTTTCCATTATAAAAACTCAGGAACATCAAAAAACATTTCCTGTCTTCTTAGTTTCATTCACTTGTCTCTTTAAGTGGGACTCAGGAAGTAAGCATTTAATAGAGTTGGAAGAAGAGTATAGTTTAGTTTAGTTTTTGTACCACTTTCACCATCTGAGATATCTGCAAGCCTTGCAATGCCATCAGTCAGTTCTTGTTCATGTTCCTGCGTTATATATCATTATTATTATTATTATTATTATTATTATTATTATTATTATTATTATTATTATTATTATTATTATTATTATTATTTCAATCATAAATCATACATTACATGTTTTCAAAATTAACTAACCTTGAGCACTTTCTTAGTTTTCTGTATTTTAACAGGATCTGGATGACTAGACCCAAATACCCTCTCAGTGGCATGAATGTTAAAATTCCTTTCCCTTCGTGTAAATAAAATATACAATATACATATATGATATATCTGCAATTATCATGTATGTACCTCTTTTATAAGAGTATCAATGTGAAGTGACTGAATATTGTCTCGACCCTTCTTTCCAATGCCATTCTGTGATCATGGAAAATCTTTTCTTGATGCTGCTACTGCTTGACTTTTGGGCAACCCTCTACCTCTCCCTGCACCTCCACCTCCACCAGGACCATTATCACGTCCAACGGGTCTACTCATTCCATGAACTGAATACCTGATCCACCATTGTATATCCTCTGGTGATATCTGCATCAAGTATCAAGCAATATTTTATTTAAGACATGGTATATCACCCATAATTTTAACTTTCTACACATAACTATGCAATATTAACCCATTCCTATGTCTCATTTGCTGTACTAATATCATAAACTAGTGCATGCCGACCCTGAAAGTATATTTTTTCCAGCATAAAATTTGGAGGTGGAGCTGCAAGCAATATCAAATTACCTCAACGGGGTTGTGATATGTTATAACTGCTTCATAAAAATTGTTGTCATCAGGCCATCTGGTTCTCACTTTTCTTCCAATCAATAGGGAGAATGTTGATGTTTCAGCAGACTCATTTGCAACTCGCCCAGAAGTCACACGATTACCAAGCTGGCCCCACCCACTTGGCCCTGATGGAGGGTACTGCATTTTCAGGGAAGATCCTCCCCCCATTATCTGACCACCACCACCACACTGCCAATTGCGATTTACAAATTACAAACATATCGTAATAAAAAACAAAATACCAATGTGGTATGGAATGGGCTTACATATTTCTTGTTTTTCCCTTTTGTCCCTGAGACAGGTGCTCTTCTAGCAGACGAAGAAGCAGCTTTCCTTTGATGATTCTTCCAGCACGATCATATTTAACTTCTCCTTTACTTGAGATTTCAGCTTATCTTTGTTCACTTTGTAATTCTTATACGACAATTCAGTTTGTGAAGGAGCAGCTTGCATATGGACATCATTGCCCTTCTCAAATACTTCTCATGCATGTATGTTCATTTGCTTGAACTCCATTGCTTGTCCACTTACTGTATTCTGGTTATCCCCCTCAATTCAACAAAATATAATAATATTAACATTTGAGAAAATATTTATAAAAAATAAATAAATAAATAAAGATAAATCAATAAAGGTTATTACTCACAGCATAGAACTTCTCATTTTTTTTATAATTCTCATTTATAAAAAATTAACTATTTCATCAAACTATTAATTATTATGCTTTTAGCTTATAGGCATCTCATCTGACATTATATATATATATATATATATATATATATATATATATATATATCTCTTTTTTTCGTCAGTTGATTACAGTTTTTACTACCATCCAGAGACTCAGAGAACACCACAGTAAGATAAGCTACGACAGTGGTACCACTCTTTGTCTCTGCACATAAGTTATTTGATAAAATGCCTCAAAGAGTATATTTTGCTAATTACAAGTTTTTTTTATGTTTATGTACAAGTAGATGCTAAAGAAAGGGGCGGAAGTGATATTTTGCTATTCTACCTGTAAAGGAAAACTTTATGATTGTCCATTTACAACTACATCATTCTTAAAACTACATCATCAAGAAGAAAGAGAGTGTACACCAAACTGAAGTTTATCAAGAACAGTGACCATGCTTTGAAATAGAACAAACTTAGATCACATAGTCTATTCATTCAAAAGGGTTTTATTTCACCCATTAATTAATCTCATTAAGTTAAAACAAAAAACCCCTTTGTATAAATTGCTACAAACACTACTGGAAATAGCTAATGTAGTACACCACATCTAATGCGGTTGTAATAAAAATCCGTATTATAACTTGGTAATGTTAATCTAATACGGGCATATAATACGGTTAATATCGTAAGAATGGGAATAGAATACAGGGATTTATGAATGTTATTAGCTTGAAATCTAATACAGCTAAAACCTAGATCTAGTACGGCTCAATCTGAAATCAAGTACAGAGCTATCCATTTTCTAATACAGCTCATTTATAGATTGCATAACCATTGCGACCGTCAACCTAGCAATACTGATTTGGACATCTGCATAGAGGTAATTCTTAAAGTATTTGTAGGACACTAGTAATTGAAGGGAGAAAAGAAAATTAATAATATAATAATTCAAAGTTCTTGAAAGAAAAAAAAAATAATTAGAATGTTGTAAACCTGGTTGGTCATATTCCAGGTCAAACTTGAGGAATTCTTCCATGCTCTTCAACTCCTAACTAGGCTTGTTAAAAGCAACAACCTACATGGATTACAACACACACAAGAAAACAATAAGAGACAATAATATGAAAAAAGAATTATTTTGAAGTAACATGTTGATAAATAAATTACAATTCTTATTCATTCTTTTGACCTAAAAGTCAAAATTGAATGGAATGTTCCCATTTTGCCCGCGTTCCCTTCTTCATACTTGTTTTGGTTGCATTTTGCAGAGATTGATCATTTAGTCACATGAGGGGACAACAGGTTTTTGACATCATTATATATGGTGATAGCTGTTTCAAGAGATTGATATTGTCAAAATGAGTTGATATATTAATAGTGCTCTTGTGTTGAATACATCAATCCCTGTTAGTGGAAGGAGTTTTACAATAACTTTGCAGCTTGTAAAAGGTAGTCATACCATAATCAGTATACCATAATCAGTGCCATAGAGATCTTTGAAACTGTCAGAGATGAGGCCAAAACATTATTAATGAAGGTACTTTTAAAACATTTCTTGGAATTTGAAGCTTTGAAAAGGATTCTTATGAAGTTAAAATTATTTCTTTATGTTCTAGTAAAAGCTTTGCAGAAATTGAACCATTCGTTTCAGTTGGAATGGTGATCTATGTCTTCCGCAACAGCATCCATGGAGTGGAATTGGGTGATGAATAAGGTTGGAATGCAAAGCCGGAATGGGCTGGAATGCAATCAGGAATGAATTGCAGGAATGGGGGATGTGACATCAAGTACAGTTGTTTATGGTGTATTAGATGCTATAATATGGTGTATTAGATTCTTTTATGCGATGGTTGTAAATAGATAGGATACATATAGAGTCCAGTTAGGATAATAGATAGGATACATATAGGATAATAGCCGTACTCTATTAGGCATGGAATCTAATACACCCCTCTACTAATACGCCCTCTATGTATGTACTATATTCATACTTTCAACCGTATTATATTATACTTTTTCTAGTAGTGAAATTTTACCTTTTATAATGCCATCAATATTTTTTTGTGTCATTTGTTCATGAACCTGTAACATAAACAATAAGTTTAGATTTTTTTCCAAATATATTTGATAGATAACAAACCTTCTTAATGATGCAAATAATTCTTATGAAAGTTTTCTAGCCTCTTCAATTGAAGTTTCATTAGCTCTAACTTCATGTTCGGCCATGTAAATGATAACTTTAAGGTTACTCCACAAAAAAAATATGTGAAGAAAGTGATTTACTGTTAGATTCCTATGATCCATTCGTATGTGTTTCTCTCAATCTTGCAATATAAGTTTGAATCAAATGATTTAACAATGACCAAAACAAAACTGACATTTCAACAAACACTTTTAGGGCACAATTCATATCAATCATAACCAAAGAATTTAATAACTTACCGTATCCGAGGAGTCCCAGAACACCATGAACACCTTCAAGAAACCAATCCCAAACAAATATCCAACCTAAAAAAGTGTTAGTGGTGGTGGCTGGCAGATTCCTTGATGTACATTGGTGGCGAGGGTGTGAGGTTGTGGTCTTGATACGTTGGGGATGATGTTGTGGTGGTTTTTTCCCAGAGGGAGGAAGGGACATCAGCTGTCCCACGCCACCGTGGATGCCAACTGGCCCGACATCAGTGATCTGAGCAGATTGGAAAAATGTAAAGAGGGAATGATCCTAGGACAGGTTTCATTGAGCAATTTGATGCATGTGAATGAGAAATGAAGAACTCACAGAATATAAGATAAAAAAATATTACTTGTAAGAAATCAATTTTTCAATATTAGGGCTCAAACTTACCTGAATAGTAACTTGGTATGACGGAGGGTCTTTCAAGAAGAAAGAAGCGAGCATCAGGTGGTTTAAAATTGAGGTCCATGGTGGAGGCGTAAATAAGAAGAAGAGACCTATAGGATAGTCGAAAAAATAGATAAGTAAAACGGAGTACATGGGAGGTGTCCACTTGAGATGGAGTAGCATCCGACGAGACCAAGAGGCTCCCACTGTTTTCATCGATTAGACCTCCACCCAAACCTTTCCTCCCTCCGTTTATTTCAGCGAAATCAGACAAGAAACCGACTCACTTACCCCGATTTCTACTGATGACGGAGTCTAAGAAGCCAAGGAAAGCTCACCAAGAACCGATAATTACCTCCTCCTCCTCACGAATAGATCGATCATCCCGATCTACTAGTCGCTACTTGCCCTGCTCCATCGGACTAGTTGAGTCCCCTCCCTACGTGTAATCTGATGGCGACAAGGAAGAACAACCAAGGAGACCGTCGGAGTGCCTTCCCCTAGTTGCGGCAGACAAGGGAATCATCGCTGCTTCTCCCTTCTCCTTTTGTCAAATCGATCACGCACTAGAGGTGTTTCCCCTTTCTCGATTGATTGCATCATCGAGCCACCATGGTTGCTTGCGTTCCCATCTTCCTTGCTCGATAGATGAACCACGACCACCGGACCAAAACTCCCGCTACCTTCGTTATTCTAATTCCCCTTTTTCGGTTTATCTGGGAATAAGAAAAAAACAAGAATCAAGATTTGCATTCTTAATATTGAGACTTGAGAGTATAATACTGAATTAGGGCTTTTTCTGACAATTTCAACATCGAGTGGGAGATATGGTGGTTCCAGTGGGTAGAAGTAAATGAGCCTTGATCGATGTCAACGAACAGGGAAGAATCGGTGGCGGCGGTCGGAGTGCAAGGGAAAGACGCAAGCAACACTTGATGTAGGGAGGCGGAGGATGACCGGAGAAGATTTTTGTGGTCAAAGAACATACCCAGAGCTAAAGAGGGGAAACAAGGAAGGAAGGCGGGTTTTCTAATTTTTTTTTATTTCCTTTTTCCCGCTGCTAGTTGTTGAAGAGCGCGTTTGTAAAATTATAAAGCGACATTTCTAGACGATACGCTTTTAACATAAGCGCCCTCCGTGTTTTTTAATGAGACATTAATTCTAGGGCACGCAAAAATGCGCGTCCGAAATTCTTTAAATTTCTAAAGATTTGACATTATTTTTAGGGCACGCCCTTTTGCGTATCATTAATCAGTGTGTATCGTAAAAAGCGTGTCATTAAAGGTCTATTTTCTAGTAGTGTTAGTAACCTCGATTACTGTGAAGAGACGCGTGCCTTTCACTAAAATTATAATGCGACATTCATTGAGACGGCGCACATTTTACATTAAGTGCCCTCCGTGTTTTTAAGTTTTTTACATTAGACACTAACTCTAAGGGCACTCAATAAAGCGCGACATATATACTTAAATTGTTTTAAGAGATGACACTTTTTTAATGTGACTCTCTCTTGCGTAACATAAATCAATGAGCGTCGTATTTTGCACGTCGTAAAAGGGTCTTTTTCTTGTAGTGAACATTAGATAGAGCTGCAACAATTCTTTGAGCTATGATTTCTTCTAGTTGTACTGTACTTATTGAGGGGTTTATTTATGGCGGTGGTTGTGGTTGTTGTTGTGGTGATGATGGTCGGTTAGGGTTTAGCCGATTACTCCTTCTAGGCATTTTGTTCTAGTTCCTTTTATAAATAATAGGAATTTTTATGAGTTTTGTTGATCATTTATGTCACACCCCAAAACCGAGAATGGCGGAAACGTTCTGGGTCGGTGGACGTCATGTAATGTATCACAACAAATGTAAAGTAGTAAATAAGCAACAACACCATCCATTGCATTAATAGTATAATTTTAGTTACAATTGTTTTCTTTCATAGTACAAGACAACAAGATAACTAATCAAAATAAAAGACGAGTCTTGACTGCTCTGTCTTGTCTAAACCTTGCATCGACACCTGTCTATTTGTAACCTGAGAATACAAGTTATTTTGAAAGTGTAGGTCAACATTTAAGCTGGTGAGTTCATAAGTATTTAATGTCATTGCTTTGATTAGTTGATATGAAAGACTGGTCAATGATTGATGAAACATTTAGTATAAGTATGAAAACTCTAGAAAATCCAATATTTCCTACTAGTATAAAAGTAATGTTCTACCAAGACCCGAATGTTTTAAAAGTACGCATCACTTGAAAATGTGATGGTTTTTCCCTGTTTAACTATTTTTATTATAAAACTCTAAAAGTAATAATATAATAACTTATGTTGTATCCTTTGGTACTAAGATACACACGGCGTGGAAACTCGCCGTAAACAGATCAACTGTAGACATCCGTAGATGTGCATTTACCTCTGTTACTAACAGCCAGGTTTAGGAATAGTTAGTCCCTTAAGTATACTTGTACTGGTATCAACCTAAAACATCCGTAGATTGTTCATTTACCTCTGTAGCTAACAGTGGTTCTAGGAATGGTTAGTCCCTCAAAGTATCCTTTAGTACTAGGATATACAGTCCAATCTATCTCGTCGATGATGTCATTGTATCACAAGGTAAAGATAGAAAGGAGAACTATATAACAATATCTACACATATAACATGTAATAGTAATTTGCCATATAATGTCTATGTAAAAGTATTCATGTATAAGTATTCATGTAAGAGTATTCTTTCATATAGCATGTAGTCTAGACTCTTGAATGAACTGACTCTAGTGTAATTTCTTGTAGTAGGGATAATGTTTTGTTTACTCTAAACTATTCCTATAATAGTTTACTAAAATGTAATTGATGAGTGTCCAAGTAGGTTTATAAACCCTTGCTACCCAAGAGTATCGGAACTAAATTAACTGGTGGAACATTTATGACCATATATGTATACATGATATATAACTAATATTTAAGCGACCATCGGAGGAGTACCCGATATCCCACCAGACCACATCCAAATCGAGGAAAAGGAAACAGGGTGGATAGCCTTCCTAAGTCTTTTAAACATTTCTTATATAACTATACATATAGAGGCATGAAATTTATAATATAAAAGCATAAAGAAGTTTTGTAAAAACGTTGAAAAGTCTAATAAAGAATTTGTGACTTGATGTCAGTTTTTAAAATGATTGAAAGTATTTTATTTGATAAGACAGTTTAAGTACACGAAAACCACTGTTTGAAAACACCTTTGTAGCCGAGTTTGAAAGGAAGCTTATAGTATGTAAGACAGTTTGATAACGAGCTTTAATCATGTAAAAACGTTTAAGAAAGTCATTTGAAGTAATATGTTTAGTAAAACTGTTAAACTTGTAGTAAATCCCTTTGTATACTAGTTATAAATCACATATGATTTCGTTGATAAAAAGCGTATAATGAACTTTATTATATAACACACGACAATAATCGAGTATTTAACTTGTATCCCCCCCCTTAAAAGCATATAAAAGTATTTATAAAACATTTGAAAAGTGTAGTTTATAGGGGTATGAACTCACTTGATTGAAATAGTTGATTTGAAGTAGTCGAGAGAAGAATCGAGCAGAACTTTGACAGGAAGAGTTGAAAACGTGGGAAAATCTCGGGATTCTCGGGATTCTTGGGAATCTCGGGAACACAAAACCTTCCTTCGGGACATGAAGGTGAAAATCGGGGCTTTGGGAGGGTCTCGGGTGGTTAAACGCAGAGTTTCGGCGCGAGAAAGAAGGGAATTGAGCAATGGAAGTCGGAGCCCTTGAAATCTATTTATAGTTGACTTTCTGGGGTGTGCCACGTCGTGGCAAGGTATGGCCATGTCGTGGGGAGTCAAACTTATCCTCTTCCATTGATTGGATGCCCTCAGTCACTTGCCGGGTCGCGACAAGCTTGTGCCACGTCGTGGGGGCCTAACAACCTCGAATTTTGGACCCCGCACTTGTAAATTCGATAACTTTCGCGTACGACCTCCTTTTTTGACGTTCTTTATATGCACGCGTAGCTGAATACATGATCTACAACTCTCGTTTAGACTTCATTGGCTAATTTTGACTTTATTTTTAACGGGCCGGGACACGAAAATTCCGTTAAAAATCCATAACTTCTTCATCCGATGTTCGTTTTCGTTAGACTTTTCATCGTTGCACTACTATTGTTGAGACCTTTGATTCTCATTTAGGTTGTTTTGGCCAAAAGTCTCTCGATCTCTATTTCGAGTTTTTAGCTGTCTACTGTTATATCCGGATCTTGGAAAAATCATAACTTCTTCATATGAAGTCAGATTTGGACGTTCTTTTTACGTACGTTTACGGTTTAATGTTATCTACAACTTTCATTTAGATATTTAAGGCTAAAAACTATTGTATTGAAACTTCGCATTTTTCGTTTAATCGATGTTGCCGGTTTTGCCGAGAATCTTCGGTTGGTCATAACTTCTTCGTTATAACTCGGATTCTAGGGTTCTTTATATGTTCAAAAACCTTGATACGATTCCTAATACTTTATTTAACCCAAATAAGATTTTAGGAAAGTTTAATTTTTACCTATATTTGACTGATGTTATATTTCATTGTCTCGAAATATCGGGTTGTCACAATTTAATACACGAGTACTAAATACTCTAATTATTATTCACAGTATAATGATTACTATAACGTATGCTTCATATTATTACCAGTGGTTACATCAGTTTATTTAGGTTTATAAGAGAAAAGTTTCTATAAACATTGCAAAATTTGCAAGGTTTTCAACATCCTCACTGTAAGCTTTCCTCTTTTCGCTTTAACTACTCTGATTTTCTCTATTTACATAACCACTAGTTGTAGCTTATCTACCAGAAACCTAAGTGATGACCCAACACGTCAGTGACATTAACCACGTTCTCTTCAAGTGCTTGAGTTCTCTGCTCAAGACTTCCCGTGCGTTCTTCATTTCTTGAGGTTTGATTGTAGAGTTCTAACTCTGCAATCCTGGCATCGTGAGTAATCATGTCATTATAAGCAAAATTTATACGATGATGGACATCCATCACCGATTCCTGATCTCGTGTCCTTTGTCCTTCTAGCCTTCACACTCTTCCAGAGAGATGAGTAGCCCTCCCTTCAACAATTTCCATCTTATCTTCAATTTTCACACTTTTCCCAAACAATTAAGATAAAGTGTTATCTTCAGAAGAATGTGGGAGATGTGGTCGAGATGAC